CATTAGATTTTATATTTAGGACTAACCTAAATCTCCTAAGCTGGCCAAACCTCATGAAATATTAATGGTGTTGCGTCAGCGTGTCACATGACCACCGTGACGCAACGGTTCTAGAACTATCATGTACTTTGGCGAATGTTCAAGTTCTTACTAGATATAGGGTAGGCGGATATATATAAGAGGGGACAACGTGACGCGGGAGGACATAGAGAGTGAGTAATTGAACTGCAGTCACACGGTATTGTTGAAGTTAACGTTCGTTTGTTACAGTGTTGTTTTAGCGCGAGTATTGAGATTAAGTGTATCGCAGAGTTATATTCGGAAAGAATAAACCAGTTTTATTAAGTAAAGACTTGTGTCGTTAAGTTTCGTCGGAACGAAGTTACGGAAAATCAATTAACAAACGGAGACGTAACAATATATACAAAGTAAAGAGCTAGATTTTCGTCAGCAGCCTAAATTGTACATGTAGAAAAGTTAATAGAATTTTAGGGTGTATTTATACAGGTATTGATTACAAGTCAAAAGAGGTAATAATACCTCTTCATAAGTTCCTAGTTAAGCATCACTTGGAATAATGTGCACAGTGTTTGTCTTTTTTTAATATTAGAAAGAATTTTAACTTATTGGAAACGAGTTATATGGGTTAAGATATCTTAAATCGTTCTCTTTTGAAGCAGAAAAATAAGAAATGATCTTATTTAAGTTTACAAGATCATCCAGGGTATCGAGAGGATAAAGTCTCCGATTTCTTTTGTTGGATATTTTGAAGATAATAGAACGAGAGGATACAAGTTAATTGTTTGAAAAAGATACGCTATGCTCAAGTTAAGACAGTTTTATTTTCCCACTAGGGTGATTGATTGGCTTATGAGATAAGTTGCTGTCGGCAATAATGGAGGCATGCACTTTAAAGGAGTTTAAGAGAGAAATCGATGGTTTCCTGAAAAATAGAAGGGAAGCGGGTTAAATATTTACTTTTCTCAAGTGTGAGTGTTGAAAAATCCAATGGTCCCTTGTTGAGTTATGAACAAGATTAAAAAGTGATCTTCCGATCGTCTTTTGTTTTTAGTTTTAAACATCTGTGTGATAATGTGGGTATATCATACGTAAATAACGACATTAGATGAATGGTCAAAATTCCTATCTTCTAGATCCTTATCCTTTTCTTCTTAAGACGTTTCTTTATACATCTAACAAGACAGACTTGGCCCAAGTATTTCTCGTGTATATTTTCCCGAATAAACAACTAAGTTTATGCTTTGACTGTTAGCTCGAAGATTAAGTTAGTATGAGATGAATACTACATATAAAATAAAAAGCCGTTTAATATATACGATCAAACGCACAGTTGGTGACGATTAACCATGGCAACAGTACAGAATCGAAGATTGCAAATAATGCTTAAACTGCATTCATTACCAGAAATACCATATGAGCCATTCTTACTTCTGATGTTTCTATGACAACCACATTAGTATGCAGACAATACTTGGTAATACACTGTTGATTTAAACAGCCATTATTAGGGGGGGGGGGATTGAATAATTTTAAAATATCAAAGAGCCAACATCATGTTGGACTTGTCAGAATCATGTTTGTGTTGTGTGTATAACAGTGTGGTAGATTTATGCAGAAAACGCCGTAATTGTTTTTTTACATAAAATTTAATATAGGTGTCATATTGTTTAAATCGCCTCCAATGTGTCCTTGCTCAAGAACAATATATA